CCTTTGGTTACATATTTTCACTGCTGGTTACTAGCTCTCCTAACTTCCAAGCCCAGGAATGTTCCACAGCATCATAACTGTGAAAGAAATGACTTCCCCTCAGCTCTTGTTGGATCATATTGCTGAAGGGTGAAGGCATTTGCTTTCTATCTATCCCCAGAACCATCAAAGCCAGCCCTGCCTTTTCTTACTGGTCTAATCATTTGAGTTACGGCTTTAATGTTCAGGTATACAATGGCATGTTCTTCCTTTCTAATTATGAGTATGAATTACTTCTCTTAGTCTCTGCTGTCAGAAATCCTTGGTTACTGGTGTTGGAATGTTTTCATAGGAAAATATAAAACCAAGTGCTAGTTCTCTGTGCCTAGGTGGTGAATTCAGTGGAGATTAATTACTGAAAAATTAAGTACTGAGAAATTCTTTTAGAAGGCTGCTGCTGAGGGAGTGTAATGCAGCAGACAGTGGTATCCTACCAGGTTTCCTTTATAGAAACTATTTGAAATTGTTGTATTTGGGGGAGGATAATGAAGGAAGAGAGAGAGAGAATTTTCAGACTAGTCTAACCTCTGCAATGAATTTTGGGTTACAGGAAGGCTCAATGGTATAATCACTACACAGTTCTTACTGGATTAAATAGAAGGACATTTCCCATTACAGTCACTGTACACAGAATAAACTGTCTCTCAATATGGCAGAATGAAAGAGTACTGTCTTGTCCTGCTGACATTCATCAGGTGACGCAGAGTCTACCATTATGGTAGACTCTGGACTTTTTCAAAGTCCCCTCTGGACTTTGGCTGCTTCCTCTGCACCATCTTTGTCTGAAAGTCAACCGGATGACCCATCAAGTTTGGCCCTACCGCTACCTTTGATGTTAGTATTTGACAAACTGTGTTTTTTAGGACACCATCACTTGTGAGATGTTCATAGGTTTCTTAAGTAATACTTTTGGGAAATTCAGGTTTAATTAAAGTTAGCTTTATAAAAATGGTAATCTTGCTGGGCACAGAGGCTCATGCCTGCAATTCCAGAACTTTGGGAGGCTGAACCCAGGAGTTCAAGACCAGCCTCAGTGACATAGCGAGACCTCGACTCTACAAAATAAAAAAGTTACTCAGGTTTGATGGTACATGCCTGTAGTCCCAGCTACCTGGGAGGCTGAGGTGGAAGGATGGCCTGAACCCAGGTGGTTGAGGTTGCGGTGAGCTGTGATCGTGCCACTGCACTCCAGCCTTGGTGACAGAATGAGACCTTGACACACACACACACACAAAATATCAAAGTTTAAAATAAATAGAAAAGGCAACCTGAGCTTTTAATGAGCTTGAATGTGAATCTTTAAGAAGAGGTTGCCATAATGCACACTTCCCCAAACACCTGAATACAGGATCTTAATTAAGAAAGAAATGCTATTTATACCTCAAAAAGCTCCAGAATTCTGCAGAATATACAATGTGGGGAAATGCTGCAGCGAATGGTTGAGATAAAACATGTCTTTAGGCCGGGCTTGGTGGCTCAGCCTGTCATCCCAGCACTTTGGGAGGCCAAAGCGAGTGGACTGCCTGAGCCTGTGGGTTTGAGACTAGCCCGGGCAACTTGGCGAGACCTCGTCTCTACACTAAATCAAAAATTGGCCAGGCATGGCAGTGCATGTCTATAGTTCTGGCTCCTTGGAAGGCTGAGGCAGAAGGATCGCCAGAGACCAGCAGGTTGTCACTGGGGTGGCCGTGAGCATGCCACTGCACTCCAGCCTGGGTGATGCAGTGAGACTCCAGCTCAAAAACAAAAAACAAAAACCAATAAAAAAACGTGTCTTATAAGCAATACTAGAGAAGGTACAAAAAACAAAAAGTTGTAAATATATATCCTTTATATATCCTTTAAATATATGGCCTTTATACTACTACTGCTCAGATTATTTTTTTTACTGAGTTCTCAGTCATCGAAGTCAAGCAAATCATGACTTATATAGAATTCTTGATCTCTTGTACTTGTCTGAAGCTTTGAAAAATTTTTAAGAAATACAATTCATTACTGTGGGAAGGAAACAGGTGAGTGTGGTCCCAGTACTGACTTAGCAAGAAACTGCTCATTTCAAAGATGCAGTGAGGACTTCCTGTGCCCTACCACCTAGCCCTTGTGGTATCACACCAGTGAGTGCCTCTCACCGAGGCCGACCTGGTCACTGACCTCCATCAGAGTCACCCCTGGAGTCCCACACAGCAGGATTTTGCCTTGGAGATGGAAGAGGGATATGGCTGGGGAACCCAGGAATTGCGGCAAGCGGTGGAGGCGACCTGAGACCAAGGTCTCAGTCAGCTCAGCATATACAATCTTATACTAATCTCTAGAAATTCCATCCGGCTTCTCTGGTCCCTGCTAGTTATACTTAGTCTTCCTAAAGACCACTCTACCCCTCCAGGCAGGAACTCCTTGTGGGTGGGGACAGGTCCTAGAGTTCTAGATTGCTCATATCGAATCTCAGCCTGACATTCAGCAGCAAGGGTGTGTGGTTGCTGTTCCTGGTTATGCTCTGAATTGAGGTGCTCAAGGCTGCCCTTTCGCCCATAAATGGATTTCACCTATATGTGAATGTGAGGCAAAGAGACAATGGATTTGCTAGGCCGGGCAGCTGGCAGCCCACAGCGCACAGGCTACCTGGCTCAGAGCATAGCTGGAAATCTACTTCCAGATGAGAAATTACAAAGCTGTTTTTTGGTGACTAATTCTCAAGCAGGCCCACACGCCGACAGACCAGTGGCTAAAAAGCTGCACCCTAGGTTTCAATGGCATTCTTCCTTTCAATAAAGGACAGCACCTTCTCTCCACCATGAGACAGACCACAGTGATTTTAATTTTGAATAAAAACTGTGGTCTGTGTTACTTTTTCCCCAGTCTACTCTTATAGTAAAGAAGACCATTTGCTCTGGCTTTAGGAACACCCCCCTGGCAGGCAGGCGCCACACACCTCAGGCTTTAAAAAGTGTCACTAAGCCTGCTCATTAATTCAAAAGATCCCAAAGTGCCCAATTCTGAGCTGGTTCCAAATAGCTGTTTTGCATTTGCTTCCAACACATGACAGCTTCCTCGTGACTGACCCCGGTTGCTCCTTAGCATTCACTTTGTAGTCCCCCCCCCCAAAGGCAGCTGGTCCACAGCTGTTTGCTGTCCTCAGCTGATGGTGGCTGCCTTCTCTTTTGGAAGCTCAGGCTACATTCAAGAGTCGCCACCTTCCGAGTGCCCAGACAGCGCTGGTGTTTCATCTCTGCATGTCTAGGTATGTGTGATCTGCCCTAGAAACTTCCTTCTCTTCCAGCAATGGTCCAGGTCCGGCTAGCCTTCCCTGACAGTGCCCCAGACACTTCCCTTTCCCAAGAGAAGTAGAAAAGCCCTTGGCCCTGAGCTTGGAAAGATGACACCAACTTCCTGGGCTACCAATGGTGGGCGTAGGAGCCCACGGTCATGGGGGACCCAGACTCAGGCCCTCTAAGTGGCTGAGGACTTTTCCCTCAGGGAGTGTGTCCTGCCAGCCATTGTCAGTGGAGTCCATTTTGTTTTCAAGTTCATTCTGGTGTGAAGGGCCTTGATATTGGTCTATATAGGCAAAAATCATAAGTTTTGATGACTAGGCTGGCACTTACAACTTGGCAGAGTGATCAGAGTTGCTTCACATGTGCTCGTGGTGATATCTTGCCTGTCAAAGCATCCTTGAAGCATTGACATTAGTCTTGGGGCTCGCTCTCTCTCCTTTCTCTTTCTTCTTCTGTGTTTCTCTTTCCCTCCTCCCTCCCTTCTATTCCCTAATCCTTTTTTTTTTTCCCCAAACTCAAGCAAGTAACCCAACATTCAGGCTGGTCATATGCCCACGTGACTGAAAGTCTCAGTTGAATCTAGTTGATATAACATAAAACAGCTTTTCAACTTCGTGCTGATGGCCCAGCTTTTAGAAATCTCCCAATTTCCTTCCGAGATCTCACTTAGAAAACCATGACAATGGATTGTGGACTGATACTTTTGCAAAATACAAAAATGGATTGTTAGGAAAATAAGACATAAAACACAAGCATACATTTTTGGATTCAAACAAAATTCCTCTGTCAAATTGGTATAAAAATTTCTAAACACTCTCAATTTTTGTTTTTATCCAATCGTGAATCATGCCTGCCCCTAGACATGCTATTTGAGTAGCACTGATGCAGATGGTAACCATACATGGAGATGTTTCATATTTATATTTCAGCCTATTTTCTTGGAGAGAGGAGTCTTTCTAGTCTCTTCTCTGCTTATCCCAGTTAGTCTAAACGTGTAACTAAAGCTCTACTGATTTCTCCATGAGCACACCATCTCAACTTGGTGGAGAGCTTCCTCCAATACACACCAGCGTACAAACCTTCATGTGGGCATCGCTCTCCCTTCTTTCTCTCCTGGAGGAATCTGAACTTGATTCTCTTCCCCAGTTCCCATTTACCATTAGTATAAGCGCCCCATTCTGCCCACTGTCAGCTGGGGAACCTGGTTGGGCTCCCAAGTGCCTACATATGTGTGTTATGTATAATATGTATTATATATCCTACATAGTTATATTACATATAATCATATATAGGCACTTGGGAACCTTATATATTGAAACAATAATAAAGTATGTGCTATATATTTATAATTACACAATGTGCAATTAAATAAATATCATACATACAATTATGTATAGGCACTTGGGAACCTTATATATGAAACAATAACAAAGTATGTGTTATATATTTATAATTATGTAACATGCAATTATATGAATATTATGTATACCATTCTGTGTACACTTGGGAACCTTATATATTAAAACAATGATACAGGATGTTATATATTTATATTATAATTATATAACATATCATTCTATGGCTATTATATAACCATATCTACCTAACATATAAGTCTCCAAGCTGATTCTATGTACTGCATATAGAAACACACATAATTAGGGGGATGATTATACTTGCCGGACTCACCGGTGTCATTAGGGTATTTGTCTCCCTTGGTGCATGTCTTCCCATCGTCCTCTTGGATGTAGCCCTCCCGGCACTCACAGCGGTAGCTGCCCAAGGTGTTAATGCAGAGGTGGGCACACAGAGTCCCGTTGCTGGTGGCACATTCATCAATATCTGGTTTGAACCAAATGCAGAGAACACTCAGTTTCGCAGAATTCACTTCTGACACAACAGATGACTCTGGTTCGGCCCCTCTGTTAACGTCTCCAAAGAACACTTGGCCAGATCTCCGTCAGAAAAGCCTGCAAGAAAGCTGGGCGCTGGAAAGGTGGGCCATCCAGGAAGGCAGCACTTTGGGCCGCGTGGCCATGGTGACAGACCATGGTGGGGTTCCTGCCGTGGCTCTGCCAGCCCCAAGTCATGTGGCATTGGGCAGGCACCGCCAGCCTTCAGAGTTCTCACTTAGAAAGCCATGGAAATAAAGCCTGCCCTAAATACTTCACAGGACTCCTCGGAAGGGAAAATGAGATGACCGACGGAGACACACAGTTGGAGAAGCAAACATCACAGAAATGATTCCTTGCAAGTACCCTTGTGTGCCGGAGGTTTTAAAATTTCCCTTTTCGGCTCTAGGTTCCCAACAGCATGATGGTGACCCCAAAGTCACTTAGGAATGGCTCCTTCCTAGTTAAGAGACACAATGATACCTGGGAAAAGACACTTCTAATAAAAGAAAATAGTCATAATGGCTCTAACGAAGACAGTCTTCCCCAGGAAATTTCTGCATCATCAGTGACCCAAACAGACCCCTCTGGGCTGTGGAAATGAGCCATGAGACCATCAAACAAGTCACCATTAGGTGCTCCCATTAACTATGTACATCATGGACTTGGACCCCTGCTGCTTGGGGTAGAAACTAAAAACGTCTCCCACCATGGGAAGAGAGGGAAGCCCAACTCCATTTCCTGCTCACCAGCTGAAGACACTGGGTGGCAGGGGGTGGGAACCATGACAGGCAACCCCGGACTGTGCACAAGTGCTGGGCAGACAGAGCCCAGCCCTGAACTTTAGGATGGTGGCGACTTCCCAGTCACTCCCTGGACAAGCTTCCAATGAACCGGCTCTAGCAGACCCTGTGTGATGGAGGTGACCATCTGGATGCTTCCCTGCCAGTACCTACTCTGCCATCCGTCCACTGAGTGTCACAGCTGGATGCTCCACTGCTTATGGCTGCCTGCTTGTCTCCCGATGTCCCTGCCTTAAGTCTAAGTGTGCAGCTGCCTGTACTGCCCAGAGACAGAGGACAGAGGTGAGAGGAAAGATAGAACTAGATGGAACTCAGCAGAAAGCAGGTTCTGCTGACCCTGAAACCCCTAGATGAAAAGAACAGAGTGCAGTAGCTATCTGAAGCTGAAAGAAAAGCCTTGTGCCTATGACTGGAGCTATATGAAATGGCCCCTGCTCTCTGTAGAAGTCAGGATCCTGCTCTATTCACTTGGGAGTCTCAATCCCATTATTTGCCAGTGTGGAGCGCCATTCCCCAATGCCGAAGGGGAGAAGCCAGGGGAGCTACAGTTAGAACTCTTAAATGATGGTCCCTAAAGCCCTACAAGGCTAGAGAGAAAGAGGGGCCGCTCGTGACAGCTAGTTTATTTTCCACTCGGGTCCATCTGCCAGTCTCCACAGCATATCCTCTTGTTCTTAAACCTCACCACACCTATGAATCGTTAGAGGTATTTGTGTAAATACTTGTTTGGGGACCCATCCTCAGAGCTGTGACACACTAAGTCTGGAGGGGAGGCTAGGAATCTTTTTTTTTTTTTTAATCAAGGACCCTGGATGTGTATCAGACAGGTTAGCCACAGTGACCGCACGTTGAAACACGTGATTCCAGGGGCCAATGAGCTATCCTCCTGTCTCAGAACTGCATGGCATGCAGGGCTGAGAAAGCCAGCCAGAGAGGAGAAAGGGAACAGGCTGGTGGCCATTGTTCAGCCGCAGCCCAGGTGGCTTCTGTTCTCTTTCATTACTTCTAACCTGTCGGCCAAATGGACATGTCCTTCATTTGAAATAATCTTCTGCGAGAACACTTCTGTGGTTTAGTTCTTTCTGCATTTTTATGTTTGGCCACAATCCCCTTCTCTTGCTCTTATATCTCATTGCCAATTAGGATCTGACTGGTACCAGCTTCCTGAAGACTCCTCGGACACAGTTTAACAACCATGATGAACAGCGGTGTGCGATCCTGAGGATAAAATCAAATACACGGCTGGGCTCGGTGGCTCAGCCTGCAATCCCAGCACTTTGGGAGGCCCTGTGGGTTTGAGACCAACCTGGGCAACCTGGCGAGATCTCAACTCCACAATAAATAAAAAAATTGGGCCAGGCTCAGTGGCTCAGTTTGTAATCCCAGCAGTCTGGGAGACCCAGGCAAGTGGATTGCCGGAGTCCACAGCTTGGAGACCAGCCCAGGCAACTTGGCGAGACCTTGTTTCTACAATAAATTAAAAATTAACTGGGTGTGGTAGTTCACGCCTGTAGTTCTGGCTACTTGGAAGGCTGAGGCGGAAGGATCGCCAGAGCCCCGCAGGTCGAGGCTGCGGTGGCCGTGAGCATGCCACTGCACTCCAGTCTGAGCAACAGAATGAGACTCCAACTCAAACAAACAAACAAACAAACAAACCAAACACAGTTCTACCCAACAAGCATGGAAAGTTTAGGGTCCCTCAGGGGACAGAACCCTCTGATCAAGGCACATCCTCAAGAGCTGGAAGACAGTATGCATTCCTAACACACCCAGACAGTATGGCTTTTCCCGCTTCTGGTGTCTGTCCCGGTCGTATCGGTATCCTGGGTAACAAGTACACAGCACTCGGCCGAAATTATCTGTGCACTGCTGTTCGCAGGGGGCCTCAGCACAAACATCGTAATCTGGAAAAGAAAAGTGAGCTTGTGTCAGCCACAGGAGGCAGCGGGCAACCCATTCCTGGCCTGAGACAGACTCTGGGCTGGACTTTGCTCAAGGACAAGCATGACGTGTGGACGCTACACTCAGAGGGGCACAGACCCTTTTGGACTGTGGAGTGCTTTCCGAGAGCACAGAATCGGGCAACTGAACGTACAGCGTCACATCACTTGTGATTTTTTTACCCTAGGTCACCTCATCATCCTTTGGTCTTTGTCACCATCCAGATAGACGCTTTTGATGGCCAGGCTCGGCAGCGTGGCCTGGAGAGCCTGTTCTGTCTTTCTCACCAACTGCTGTGAGATAGGGAATTTCTTCCAGCTGAAAACCAAAGAGAGGCCAGCCCTGGTGAGGGGCGTGGGTGTTATCATGTGGGAGGCAGGGCTAGAAGTCGGGCAGGCTCGGAGGAGTATGAAGGAGACTTTGTAATAGGAATGTGCTTGAGTTATTATTAGAGGGCTGATGCAAGTGTGGGTGCTGTGAGCGCACCCACTGAGGGGTTGATCCCACATACTAAGAAGGGGCTGGATAATTCCGAAAGGCTAGAGATCTCTTTCCAATCCTCAGCCTGTACAAACTGGGACGGGTGCTCTACTATTCGTAAGGACGGGACATCTGCTCCTCTCCGTTCTTATGAGCTGGTATTATGAAAGCCTCTGAAGGGACTTTGGTTTTAACTCAGTAGCTCAGGTTCACACTGACTCCCAGCCTAGACCCAGCGCCTCGTTAATCATTGCCCTATCTTCCCCAGGTGCTGACAGATTCAGTGTCCTTGGACACACAGGAGTCTGGCTTTGCTCCACCGCACATGAAGGTGAACGGGTGGGCTGTCAGCTCCTGATGAAGGCGGGGTGAGTGTGACAAGGATCGTGCCACTCTCATGACGCCCTGGAAGGTTGCCCTTACTTAAATACTCCTCCCCACAACTGTGATTCCAGGCCTGCTTTGCCCGTGTGGTGTTTCGACCCACCCTGTAAACTGTCTATGGCTAAACATGTTTTTTTCAACTCCACTTCACCTCCAGACAACCAAGGTCCTGTGCCCCTTTGCTGTGGAGCACGATCTTGGTGTGACAGGTTATCAGCCGCCCTGGCGGCTGTCACCACCACTCAGCAGCAGCTGGGGGGAGGGAGAAAACGGCAGAGAGGCTGTCAAACTATGTATGTTGACTATGGTGCCCAACAAGGCTTGTTCTGATAAACAGCAGTTTCCAGTCTCCCCTGCCATTTCTGCTTCCCTGAGGTACCATTTCCAACACTTCCGGTTGATTCTCTTTAATATTTACCTTGCATCTCTACATAGGCAACTTGCATTTCCTCTTCATTTTTATTTTAAATACTCTCTGTTGACTTGCAGTGATAGAAGAAATGCATTTATCTTTTTCACTGCTTTCTCATCTCTTTTCCACACCCACACGTCCTCCTCCCTCCATCTGGCCAATATAGTTGAAGTTTTGGCTTGATAATCTTTAGTGTTCATGCAAAAATGACAATGTAAAAAGCTATTCTTTGTTGAGCCAAGAAGTATACTCTCATTACTTATCCTTTCTTGAAAAACTTTTGGTCTTCCCTGGAATGAAAATAATTATCCTGTATGTTTTTAGGGTGCCAGTTATGGAGCTGTCTCTTTTAGTTTCCAACAACTTCCCCCGCCACTCCCCCACATTTCTTCCATGAACTACTTTGTGACTTGGACTCTGAAGACCACATTTATCTTTTGCCAGTGCTCGCTACAAAATCGAGTTTGTAGCTTTTCCAATATTTGCAGAATCAGCCTCGTTATATGCCATTTTAGACACCAGCACCAGGTAATTAGGTGATGCTCCCTCCCCAAAGGGTTGTGTCCCAGCTTTATGGGTAACTTTGAGTCCAGAGAAACAGCACCTGCTGGCCAGTATCCCTTCCTCAGAGGTCTGGTTCCAGTCCAATGAGCACCTCCTCCAAATTACTAAGTTTTCATGGGTCCAATATCTTCTCTTGCTTCCCTGGCCTAGGGGTGGTAACTTCCTGCAGTTGTTATCTCTATGATAGTTGGTGTTTTCCTTTTGCCTTTTTGTTTTTCAATTTCTAGTTGGCAATTCTTCTATTAAATGCTTTTAAATGCTTTCTACCAGATAACTGGTGAGGAGTCTATTTCTAGACTTAACTTTGATTAACACACTCAATTTTCTACAAAATGATTATAATTCATTCCTACATTCCTGATTTTACAAATCTCTTCTTAAAGTATCCAAACATACAAGATATTTTGTGAATTTAATCTTGAGGAAGTTTCTCTTAGAAATATCTGACTTGGCCAGGCTTGGTGGCTCAGCCTGTAATCCTGCGCCTTTGGGAAGCTGAGGTGAGTGGATTGCCTGAGCCCACGAGTTCGAGACCTGCCTGGGCAGCGAGACCTCATCTCTACAGTAAATAAAAAAATCAGCCGGGCGTGGTAGCGCGTGCCTGTAATTCCAGCTACTTGGAAGACTGAGGCGGAAGGATCACCGGAGCCCGGCAGGTCGAAGCTGCGGTGGCCGGGAGCGGCCATTGCACTCCAGTCTGGGCGACAGAGTAAGACTCCAACTCAAAAAAAAAAAAAGAACTATCTGACTTGCTCTAATCAGGACTCTCTGTAGGTCCACTGCATGGCCACCTCTTCGAATGTCCATTCACCATCATCCTAGGAATTTCCATCACCTTTCTCTCTTGTCTTGAATGCCTGTCTCCTGGACTCCACATCTTTTTTCTGGCTTACTTCCTCATATTAGTAGAGTGTATTCTTCAGTGGCTTCCTGAGACAGGTTATAAAAGAGTCAAAAGTTTTGAGCACATGTATGTCCAAAAATGTCTTTTGTCAACCTTTGTGATTACTTGTAGTTTGCATATATAACTCTAGGTTAGGAAACTTTAATCCTCAGAATTCTGAAGCCATGTTCCATTGTCATCTATCTCTCAATGTTTCCACAGATAAGTCCTATGAGATTCTAACTGTTGATCTTTTGTATTAATCTTTTTTCCTCTCTGAAACTTTTTTAGAATTTTCTTTTTTGTCCCTAGTATGATACAATTTCATAAGGATGCTTTATGTGGGGCCACTTCAATCTTTGGTGAGCCCTTTTCATCTAGAAATTTACATCATCCAATTCTGGACAATTTTCTTGACTTATATCTTTAATGACTTACTCTTTGTTCTCTCTGTGTGGAACTTTTAATTATTTGGATGTTGCATCCCCTGTACTTTTCTTCTAACATTGTCATCTTTTCCCCTAGTTTTCATTTCTCTGATCTTTTGCTCTAGTTCTTTGGAATTTTCCTCACTCTCAGATGCTAACCTTTTACTAGTTTCACCTTGTCATGTTTTTAATTTTCTTTTCTTTTCTTTTTTGAGTTGGAGTCTCACTCCTTTGCCCAGGCTGGAGTGCAGTGGCATGCACACTCACAGCTACCCCAGTGCTGACCTGCTGTGCTCTGGCGATCCTTCTGCCTCAGCCTTCCGAGTAGCTAGAACTACAGATGCATGCTACCATGCCTGGCTATTTTTTATTTTATTGTAGAGACGAGGTCTTGCCAAGTTGCCCAGGCTGGTCTTGAACCTGTGGGCTCATGCAATCCACTCACCTTGGCCTCCCAACATGCTGAGATTACATTAATTTTCAAGAATTCTTTATTTCTTCTTTGAATGTTCCATTTTATTAATGCTATGTTTTTGCTTTATGGATATGGTTTCATTTTTACCTCTTTCTGAGGTATAAATAATATTTTGAAGTTTTCTTCTCTGTGTAGCTTGTGTTATCTTGTGTTTCCTATATGTTTCTCTTTGAAGGCTTCCCTCTAATGCCTGGTGAGCCAAGGATGTCTGCTTTAGTTTATTCATGGAATATTAAAAATAGCTGAATAGAAATTTTTTGTACATGGTATATTTTAGAAATTTTGGACACCACTGTAAATGATTTGGCTGGTGCATTCCAATGTCAGTTTCTTTAAGACCTTCTCCATGGGTTATCTAGAATGTGCAGAGAAGACATTTCCAAATTCTTGCCCGAGACTAAAGTCATTCTGGAACTCAAGTGAAGGGAGAAGGCTGGTTGTTTCAACATTCAATGTGTAAACATTTACTGAATCCCTCCATTTTCAGTACTGGACCCTTACCTTTAATTTCTGACTGGTGTCCCCCAGTTCCAAAGTCTCTGGAACTAGAAAAATGTATCTTTCGTCTTTTGCCTGGTTGTGAAACAGGCAACATTCTGTCTTTGCAGAGTAGAGGACAAGATTTGGTAGTCTGACTTCTCCTTAAACAAGCTTTTAGTCAATCCTTCTGTTTTGACATTGCCCTCTCCTCTATTTCTATTTATTTAAGTTTTACTGATTGCTATTTGTTTTGGTATAAACAAGGTTGATCCTTAGAGTTTTTCCTCATGCTGACTGAGGATTTGCCTTTCACATTTTGCTAAGCTCTCTACCACCTGTCTATTCTCTAGCTTTCAAAATTCTGTTGCTATTATCTCTTTTTCCTTTCTCTTTCTCCTTGTGGGTTTATGCCTTTTATGAATCTCCCCCCCACCTCCATTTTGTTGTTTTCTGGAGGAGGTGAAATTAATAAATTATTCAATCCTCCATTTTTGATGCTTGCTTCTCAGAGCCCATCAGCTTCCAGTCATGCAGTTTTTTTGTTTTTTTCTTTGAGTTGGAGTCTCACTCCATTGCCCAGGTTGGAGTGCAGGGGCATGCTCATGGCCACCCCAGCATTGACCTGCTGGGCTCAGGTGATCCTTCCAAGTAGCTGGAACTACGGGTGTGCATTATCACACCTTGTTAATTTTTTTTTTTTTCTGTAGCAATGAGGTCTCGCCAAGTTGCCCAGGCTGTTCTTGAACCATGGACTCAGGCAATCCCCTCATCTCGGTCTCCCAAAATTCTGGGCAGTCATGTAGCTTTTATCTTTAAAATTTACCTATTTTTAATCCTTTCTGTCCTATTTCTCTTGG